GGTTCCCCTTGGTCCTTAGCTGTGCAGGGCAACTTTTGAGACTGATCAAATAAACAACATGGCCGACAGGCAGCCATCTTGGATTTTGATAATGAAAGTTTGTTATCTCGATTTCTCAAAAAGCACCTGAGGGTTCTTTCTCAAATTTTATATATAGATGCCCCTTGGTCCGTAAATGTGCAGGGCAACTTTTGAGACTGATCAGATAAACAACATGGCCGACCGGTAGCAATCTTGGATTTTGATAGTGAAAGTTTGTTATCACTATTTCTCAGGAAGTGCGGGAGGGATCTTTCTCAAATTTTATATGTAGGTTCCCCTTGATCCCTCGTTGTGCCTGTTATATTTTGAGACTGATCATAAAAACAAAATGGATTGAAAGAAGAACTAAACAGATCTTTCTCATATTGCAATGACCAATTCTATTTCTTTCACATTAAGTACTGTACTAGTAAATACGTGAAATGACAAACTCACTTTGAAGGTTGGCTTTTATACACATCAGTATTAAGTTTAGATCAAAAGTTACCTCAAGGTGCATTTACTGTCAACATGACTTGATCAAACAGATTAGAGGAAAGAAGAGAAAAGATTGAACTGACAAAGAACTAATGAAGATGGTACAAAGGTGGGCGCCAAGATCCCTCTGGGATCTCTTGTATTTATGTAGTTATTCTGCAACAAGTGCAGAGGGCTAAAAATCACAGACTCGGATTCAGAGTGGAAACTCACAGGGCTTAAAACAGGACAGTTACTTATTAATAGTAGTACATTTTAACAAATTAACTACAATAGATTTGAGTAGTCTCATCAGCTCACCTGATCAGGAGAATTATGGTATTGTAGCGTCAATCGTCAATTCGTCCGTCAACTTTTCCTTTAAAACGCTACTAGACTTGAACGGCCCAGTAGATTTTGACTAAATCTGGTCTGGAGCATCCTTAGGCCAAGTGGACTGAATTTTATATAAACGGTGGGTGTGATCCCCCTGGGGGCAGAGGGGCGAGCCCAATAGGGGAAATAGAGGTAAAACCTTTAAAACCCTTCTTCTACCGTAGGGATTAAGGGCTTTTATCCTACTTTTGTCTGGAGCATCCTTGGGCCAAGGGGACTCAATTTGTATAAACAGTGGGTGTGGGCCCCCTGGGGCAGAGGGGCGGGGCCAAGTAATGGATATAGAGGAATAGCTTTAATATCCTTTTTCTTCTGTGGAGATGAAGGTATACTTTTAATTGACCAAATTGAACAGTAGCATCCTATGGGGAAGGGAAATCAATTTTGTATAAATGATTGGTTTGAACCCCCTGGGAGTGGGGCCAGATGATTTGCTTTGAACCAATCACTGTTGTGACTATAAGATTGTTCTAGTTTGATAAGACGGTGTTAATTAGAGGATATATAAAACAGACTTCATGGAATATTTATAGATATAATCTGTCTGTATTTATATCAAGGTGAGTGTTGAAAAACAATCCATTCAATCCCCTATGTGATACACAGTGATCTGGAGCATAGAATCAAACTTCAGAATTGTGAAGATGATATATACGTATGCATGTACACATATGTAAAACAGTATATAAAATAAAATGGGGGGGGGGGGGGGGGGATATAGTGTTGCCCATGTCTCTCACATCCAGTCCCGTCAAAGATCAAATACTGAAACTAATTTCACATGGTGATGGGGGCATTCATGTCTTACACACTTTTCTGGTTTAAGTTGTTTTAACAATACATTATTTCTCATCTGTTCATATCAAAAAACTTTTTTCAAGACAGAGAAAAAATCATTGTTACTTCTTTTAAAAAGTCTGCTGAATTTCTGTATAGGGTTGTTGATGACAGTGAATTTCTGTATAGGGTTGTTGATGACA